TCCTCGGTTGAGTCGCGAAGCTCCTCTTTCAAATGTGGGCAGCAACGCAATCGCGGCACGCGTCGATGATGCCTTTGTGCAAGCGCTTTGCCGCCGCGCTGATATATTAGGCTTTCGTCACAGCATAATCGACCAAAGTAGAATTAATTCACCATCTCAGTGGAGCGGCATCATGGCGGTTAATCAGCGGTCTATGAGTACGCCGGCGAATTGGCGATACGGCAAGCCGTCTCTCGTGACTTTGTTGGCCCTACAACGTGACGGGTTCTGGGTTGCCAACCCGCCTGTACGTTCTACAAAGAAAAGTCTTGCACCATCTTTTGTCTTCCAAGACTTGATCGCCTCTTTCTTCGGCACCTTGCGATGGGGCGTCGATGACCGCGCGCCGCCGATGCACGTGAGCCTGGACAGTTACGTACGCCCCCGCAGTGCTGGACCACGGTATCGTAATGAGAGCCGTTCTCCCACTGTTAACCTTTATTCTAATGAAATGCTAATCAGGTCCGATTCCTCCACATCTTATGACGTGGAGATGTCGGATTTCTCATTATTCCAACACGGACACGCTTCGTCATCCGAGGTAGAGATTCGAGATACCTCACAGCGCCGCCGCCACAGAGACAAGCGGCTTCGCCACTCCGATCTCAGAGGTGACGAAAGAGATCTTGCTGCTGGGAGGCTATCCAAGCACAGGCGCTCTTCGTCATCCGAGGTAGAGATTCGAGATACCTCACAGCGCCACCGCCACAGAGACAAGCGGCTTCGCCACTCCGATCTCAGAGGTGACGAAAGAGATCTTGCTGCTTGGAGGCTATCCAAGCACAGGCGCTCTTCGTCATCCGAGGTAGAGATTCGAGATACCTCACAGCGTCACCGCCACAGAGACAAGCGGCTTCGCCACTCCGATCTCAGAGGTGACGAAAGAGATCTTGCTGCTTGGAGGCTATCCAAGCACAGGCGCTCTTCGTCATCCGAGGTAGAGATTCGAGATACCTCACAGCGCCACCGCCACAAGAACAAGCGGCCGCGGCTGAATACAACCAGGCCGACCAATCCTGAAGGCCCTTCACCATACCAGGCACAGACTAGGCATCCTACATCGATGGGTCATCAGGGCAAACGACCCCGACCCGCCAATCTCGACGACACCCATCCCCATATGATTCTCGACGAGGGATCACCACGATCCATTTCAAGCCCGCTCCAATACATAAGCTTGGTACCGCGGAACCCTCCGTCGTCTTCGGGTGATCTCGTGGCTCCTGGGTCAACGGGCGAATACGGCACTGGTACGATGAACGTCCGTCAGACCAACGCGCTTGCAGCTTCCCCGCACGACCAAGTCAAGCGGCCACGCGTTCGTTCTGCTGAAAGCACCAATACGGGAAAAAAAAACCCGGCGGCGGCTGGGTTGGAAGAAATACACCAGAGTAGCGATGTGGCGAATACAATGAAATACGGCCAGGAAAGCTCGCCGCCATCCATCATCAGCCCCATTGGGTACCACAGTCGGCTGCAGAGCACGCCTCTGTCGGATATGGGCGCTCAAGAGCCATATAGCACACGAAGCCATCCTCAACGAATCCAAAGTCCAGAGAATGCAGCAGAAACCCAGACATCCGAGCCCAGCAACCGGGCTCAAGCCTCAGCAAAGGGTTCGAGCAAGAAAACTAATGGTTCGGGGTCGTCCAAGCGAAGTCCACTAATTTTGTCGCGTTCTATGGTTGACGACAATGAAGCACAGGATGAAGACGACGACATCCAGCACCAGCTGTTGGAGGGTTTTGAAACTGTGCCATTAACCCCGAGTCGGATGGAAGAATCATTGGATAGCGTGGATTTCAACGGGCAGACAGCTTCCGTCTTCGTTCATTCGATCAACAATAGCCCACGCACACCGTAGAAATGAAATTTCCAGACACAACTCTGAACATGACGTCACGCTCGCCCTCAGGCGCAAAATACGTGCGAAGAGCCAGCGTAAAGACACGAAAATTCTTGACGCAGCCATCTTTAGAGCTTTGCTATGGATAGCAATCAGCCAAGTGCTGTTCAACCTTCGCTGGCCTTGCAAGCACGTGCCTATCAATAGGATACCTTTCTCAAGTGAGAATAGCGTGGTCTCGCAATGATCTGTCCAGAGCTCGTCGAGCTCTGAGCTTGGGTAGAGCCACGGCGAGAAGACTGGCCTTTTGGGCACATGAAAGCCCTTGTTGCGTTTGTATAGGCAACGGCAGTGATGTAGGAGCAAGGATCAAACTTGGAATGGACGGACGGCGGGGGTTGAATGTGGGTGCTGCGTTCGTACTTCGCTATATGCACTTTAACATCAATTTTCATATGGAAGCAGGCTTTCTACTTCGATTGATTAATTAAAGTTCGTTTGGAATAGGTACGTTTGGAATTGATATACCATGTCTGCGGCAAAGTCTCCATCGTTGCATCTTCTTGTTACTACTTGTGTCCACTTCAACGCGTGGAGAGAACAACCTAATACTTACTCACCAGTGTTAGGTCAAGCAAGGCCGTACTAAGAGAGCGCACTGGAGCGTAGAAAGACTTGATATCAGTATTCATACTCACTCAGGGGAGCGGCTGAACAGGCCCTTGGCACGCCACTTTGTACGGTGCCGACGGACTCTGGCACTCAGACGTAAGGCAACAAAAACAAGATCTGTACTAAGCTATACATTCTAGCCGAATATAGGAGGAATATGACAGCGACGCTGGACGGTGGCGTCCTAGTTTCGTCTTCCGTGTGAAAGGGCCTCAACTTTTCATGACCCGCTTCCCAGGGCAGCGCACGGATATTATCGAAGTCCATGAGTGCGTCATGAGTTGGAGACCATACATAGAGGGAAAAAAAGACACATGTGCAACATTACGTTGATCTGATCACGACTACGTGCTGCCGCTGTGCCAGAAGTTCAAATCCATTGGTCTATCTAATTGCGAACTGATGCAGTGGTTCAAGTTTGCCAAGCTCTGATGGCGATGCCGACGAAAAAATGAAAGGCCACTGCAGAGAATGGCGAGTTCATTCTGTTTGTTTCTCTCCTTAACTAAAAGCTCTTATATTCTTTGATTCCTTCAATCGGCGGCGGGCATAGAAGCTGTACTCAGGATCACCCATTCGCGCCGGCACCTTCAATCTGTATGGGCCTTCATCTATCTTTGTGTTGGTTCGAAGACACTCCTGTAACCAGTCGTAACTGACTATGTGGACACCTTTCCAATTTTTGCGGGAAATGTACCTCGTGAAGCCTTCTTCATCTGAAAGTTCGCTCTGCGAAGTCACCAGATGCGTGAGCAAAGGGTCTTCGAGATCATGGATATATTGGCCGTGAAGGTCTTCTATCTGACGTCTGATCCAACTGAAATCACTCCAAACCGATTTCAGTGGATAATTTCTGGTGAATGAGATAGAGCATGCGATCAAAGCGCGAGCGCGGCCCATGGTTGGATGTAGTTGAAGTTGGGATTTGGTACTGTACGCTTTCTCGAAGAACGACGAGCCACGACCGGTGAAAGACCCAATGCAGCCGTCACTTTATACTTTGTGTGGGAATAAATCCCCAAATGGAATTGGTTTTTCAAGTCGCGAATGGCAACTGTGTTCTTTCTCCGTTCTGGTTTTGGGCGTGCCTGGTGAACCTGGCCAGAATAGCCCCTTGGCAGCGAGTAAGGGTCTACCGAGTGCAAAGCTGTGAGAGATTTGAAAATCCACGTTTGAACGAAGGCGATCTGATTTTCCCTATTTGAAAATGAACAATCATTTGATTCAACATCAGGACTGGTGGCACTGTTTCCGATTGCGGCGCCTCGGCGAAGGATGTGGTTCGTTCGCGAAAAGACTCCGCAGCGCAAAGTCAAGATTAAGTACTGAGAATAGACCTTTCCCGGCCCTCCTACCCTGTCACAGAAGTTTGCCTGACGGTCCTTATGCATGAGTGGCCTGACGCTTGAGTGACCCGATATTTAAGTGCTTATTATTGGTACAGAATGTTTTGTCAGCCGCGAACGTCCACTGCCGGTAGAGGCCAATGAATAGACAAGTTATTATGTTCCAAACCGAAAAAAGGAGACTGCATAGCTCCAGTAAAGAATGTCCCACTTCTCATAGACATGCAAAACCCTTGGTCAGTGATGATGTCTATCTTCAGCCTCGGCGTATGTACTGTAAACCTTTTCTCACTTGAAAATTTTCCATGGCGGCTTGCCCGCCTCGTTATATGTACCTATCAGCTTGAGTTTACAGATGTCGGCTTAAAGCCGCAAACCGATCTCTCACGTTAGAAATGCTGGCTAACCCTAGTCCCTACTAGTCCCGCAACAAACAAGAAGTGGTATTTTTAGTGATCCTAGCTGTGATGCATTGATATTCCCGGCTTTCAATTCGGTCCCTTGACACTGATCCTGGCTCTTGATTTCCCCGTGTTGATCGGTTGCACCGCCCTTGTAACGTTTTGTGTCTTTTTTCCTTTTCGATGGTTGATCTGACAATGGTTTGAGCTTGCTCAAGAAGTGGAAACCCGTTGTCTTGTTTGCCGTAAGAGCACCCAAGATCCGAACAGGAACAGCGGCTCCTAACAAACCCGCCCTCTCCCTGGACTTCACGGCGGTGTCGCGCTAGGTTTTTCTCTGGGCCAATAGATTTGGAACAATGAGAACGAGGAAAAGCCCCATCAATTCCACAAACGAGGTTATGAAGGTACAAGACAGATATTGATTGATCCGGCAGCAAGCGTTGAGAGCAGACGTCGAATGAGGCCGGCTAATGGATGTTTGATGGCGCGTCCAACGATAGTCCACCTTCTTGTATATCGGACTCGGGCGTTGTATGGGATCTCTCCAGGGAATGACCGGACCCAGTTGATTCTGGTTGTAATGACGAGTCCATTATGGGAGTCAAGGATGTCCTGTTGTACAATGAACGTACCGGTTGAGTATCTAGAAATAGGCCTGTCGATTTGGACAGAAGCGGCTGCGCACTCGGCCCGTTATATAGTCCTTCCGAGCGGCCCTCCAGCAGACCTGGAGGGATGAGGAGTAACGGCTGTATAGCTGATGGGGGACGCCGGTGCAAAGATGCACTCTCTGTTCAACTTGCTGCAATTCTTACACCTCTCTTCGCTCCCAGACTGACGTCCTCCACAACGAATCTACGTTCAAGTCAGAGAGGCTGTGTAGAAAAGGGACGAGGCGTCGAGCGTTCGTCTGGAACAGACTCACCTTCCTCTTGCGACAGTATTTGCAGGCAACCGACGTCCGCTTATCCCGGGCGATCGCTACAACGCTAGATAGAGTAAAGCATGGAGGATCGTCTGACACAGTTGACAGAACAGGGCTGGGGTTGAGCCTGAAGACCTCTTGAGTAGGCTGTGCTGAGAGGCCACTAGGGCCCGGAATCAGGTATGGAGAAGGGTGTTGGAATGCAGAGCCAGACGTAAGTGGAAGCTCCGAGCCATCATTGGCTTGGGCGTCCCCAATAGCATCTTCCTCTGGACTGACTCTAAGACCACGTTCGACATGATCACCATAATCCTGAGATAAGGGATCTCTCTGACGCGGTAACCGGTTGTGTCGTTCTGCATTCCGAGCCTCTGGTTCATCGTCGAGGATCACCGCTAAACTGTAGCTGCGACGGGGGCAGGCCACTAGAGGCCACAGAGAATGGGTTTGCAGTCCGCCGTCGTCGATTTGGCTTTTTTCACTATTGTCATCTGGGAAAGGCCTGGAGTAGTTCTCCTCTGGGCCAGGATGTACAGTAGCCGAAATGAAGCCTTCCGACACGTTGGTGCAACGGGGTTGAGGTTGCGAGCACAGAGATGGATCGGATAGTCGGTCCCGAGGAGGACCAATCTTTCCTTTTTTGCTCGACGGTTGGTCATAGGCGTTGTCTCGGGGGTCCGATACGCCATTTACACGTTGACGTTGGGCACGTGGAGAACGCGACCCGTCCGACTCATCTAGCTCGGGTCGCTTTCGCTTCGAGTGATGAATTGTTGAGTGTTCGCTGTAGTACAGTATCGGATGTTCGCTGGTACGCATGCTGGCGAAGGAAGTGCGTTTATCACCATCATGCTCCTCTTTCTGGTGCACCTGGTTCAAAGTACCGTAGCGGGGATCATTAGTGAAGTCTTCTGTATCGCCTGAAGAAGCTCGGGTATGGGAGAATTGGTTGTCATGGTCATGAAAACCGGAGGCCTTTTCTGATTCTGATGGCATCGTGAAAGGGCAGGTACAAAAAGATCTAGTGGTGACCAAAGTGGTGATGGGCGCGAGAGAGGCTGACGAGGAAAGGAATGAGGAGAGGGTATGGTAAGGAGAGGATATGGACGAGGGGATGGACGAGGGGATGGACGAGTGGAGTATGAACAGAGGGTACAGTAACGAGAGGGCATGAACGAGAGGAGCATGGATAGAGTGACTGGTCAAGGGAGACAATGCCCTTTCTTGGGTACACTGGCTTTATACCCACCAGCCACTCACGTGCACTCTTGTCAGGCGTGGAACATGTGCCCAAATCAGACCTTAACCTCTGAAGTCGGTCTTACGAGCCCCCGTACCACAGACTTGCAACGGAATAGCTTACTCATCTGATGGGCCTTGCTTGATGCTTCTTGCCTACAAACTCCCGAGCCACTTGCCTGATGTTGTGACGATCGTTTCATATCAGCCATGCCTACTCTTCTCTGGCCGGATGACACGAACTCCCATAGTGATACGGTTCACAAGATCGTCTCGCTCAGCTTGACTTTGCATCAAGACCGGCTGGGAGGTTCCGAGACCGGCGAGACGGGTGTTTCTAGGTACCACAGTCCCGTTGGAATCGCATGCCTTTCAGACGAGAAGAGTGACAACGGGCCCGACCATTCATTGCGCATGTAAATGAATGTCGTCTTCATGTCGGCTCCTTCCTCTTCGATGTTTCAGCCCTTAGTTTTGTCATGTCGTTCTTGGTGCTGTTCAACCTGAAAAGCATACGCAAGTGTGATGATGAAGACTCATCGGCTACAGACAGCCCGGCTGGCTTCTGTGCGTGTTCGCTATATGCTTCGCAAGGTCTCCCCCTGTTGTGACTTGATTGACGCGATCCCAAATCTATCGCAACCCCCACAGCTGTACTGCAGGCAACGAGGGTGGAAGACGCATCACAGATTGGTGATTCAAGCTCCTTGTGCCATTTCATTATTGGTTCGATCGTGCCAGTTTACTTTACTCAAGTCAAGGCTGACGTAGAGTGGCCCGGACAGGGGCAGCCCGACAGGCTCTGCCGCCATCAGTTGACAGCGATGCAAGGGACGCACCATTCAACCCTCATGCTCATGATAAGGCAGATCAGGACGCAGACAGCGCCGCTCTGCCGGCTGCCAGAAGAAGGTTGCAGCCCCTTGTTCAAAGTTTGGTGAAGAGCGAAGACAGCCATGTCTGCTCACCCTACATAGGGCCTAGGCGCCGACCAGGCGCCCAAATCCTTGGCACGGCCAGGCGGCAACGCCAGCTAGATCTCGCTTCTCGCTTCCAGACTCCTGGCCGCAGCCATAGACATAAATCACCTGGCCCATCCACATTCGCCTTCGCATCAGCCAGCAATCGTCAATGCAGTCGTGATGGCTGTTGCACCTGGCAAACTGGGCCTTCGGTGCCCGAACCAAGGTCAATTTTACATTTGCGAAGCTAATTCCACGGAATTCATCGGCTGCTGCCTTTCCGACCCCTGCGCCAATGGATCCGGCCAGTGCCCACATGACAAGCTCGCCCCATCAACCTTCTCAGCCAATCAGTACGCTGCCGTTCCGGGCCAGGATTGTGAAGATGCAAGAGGCGTGTCTGTCTGGTGGACATGTCGCGATACCAGTCCGCCATTTTTAGGATGCTGCGCGAGCGATCCATGTGTCCACGGCTGCACGCGACGTGATCTACTCCCGGCCAAGTTGCATAGCAATAAAACGCACCGCCAACCATTTCTGTCCAGCGATGCACCGTTGAGCTTACCATCGTTTCTGCCTTCGATAACGTCTTCGGCGGGGCACTACACAACAACTTCGATTCGACCATCCAGTCCGTCTGAGGAGGCACCTTCATCAGAGCCAAATGCCGGGCACGTGCCTGCCTCGCATGTATCAACCAAGGTCTTGATCGGGGCTTCTGTCGGTAGCGCTATGCTGGTAGCAATTTGCGCTCTAATTGCATGGCAGTGTGTAAGGCACGCCCTGCAGGCGAAACTTTTAGCTGCTGTGGAACTTCCTATCCACGTTGTAGGCAGCGGAGCACCGTCCTGGCCCAAGGACGCAGTGGAACTATCGGCAGAGCCTGCTACGGCAGTCTCCCGTTAGCTAAACGTCAGTCAAAGGACGCCCAGGCGCCAGCGAGATCTCAGCTACTGAAGTTGCTGGTGGTTTTTTCCTTGTTACGCTCGTGCCCAGCGTCGCTGGTACACGATGATGGAAACTGATGAAATCGTTCGTATATAAAGCTTTGTGCAGCAATAGTTAAAATCTATTTCGCACTTGAAAGCGTGTGCATACATACAAGCAGTCGTGCCTTCATGCCTTCCACCGCGTTGCGCAGCCGCCGGAGAACGTGCTCGTACTGACAGACTGGCGCAGCCTTAACCCGGTGCGGGGGAATCCTGCTCTCAGCACACCGAGATCATTCAAATCGAACATCTGATCCGCGACGAGGCACTGGAACTCACTTGCCAAAAGTCGAAATAGAATTGCCGCGCAGGTCCGGTAGGTCACCACAGTACAGTATGGTGTCGTCCTCCACAGAGGTTCAATGTAACATGGCCTTCTAGGAGGTGGATCATCATCACCAAACCTTCAGAGTGCTTAAGATGATTGCTCCCATACTTGCTCCCATACTTGCTCCCGTACTTGCTCCCATACTTGCTCCCGTACTTGCACACATATTTGCATTCATAGTTGCACCGGTCATTGCTCCGATCGCTGTAGCACCATCCCTAACCACCAGCGACAGAAGCCATGTCTAAATCGCAGCCCTGGCTGAGTTTGGCTTCGGGCGCTCCTGGGCTGGGAGGCCCTTACCTTATAGAAACACTGGCAGCATATGAAGAGCTGGATGCAATAGGACATGAAAAGCCGCGAATTCTGATGGCGATTGGATAAGCAACCAAGCGGAAGGTTCTTACTGAGTCTTTTCCCAGGCTCTCCGGTCAGGGACGATCTGGCGCAGTCACTCTCAGCACCCTTGGGCCGCCACTGACATTTCTGATCGACTGCGAGCTTCACGTCTCTCGAGACGCTCCGCGCATCCAGGGAGGGCCGAGCAAGGGAGACTATGCGAGGCATGAGATGAGATGCGCTGCAAATAGTCAGAAGGAGGTTGCCTACTCCCTCTATCACCAACTACTCGCGCCATTCAGTGCTGTCGTCCTTGTCTTCGTGGAGGATTTCAGGAACGCCTCCGAAGTCACAGACCTTCTCATCGACTGGCTTCGCTCAGCCATGGAAAAACGACCCCCATATAGTCCCAGAATTGTCCTGGTGACTGAGACAGGCGCAACCCTTGATCTGAAAGACTTTTTGTCACGCTTGGTGGCTAGAACTCTGTCCTTACTCCGCCTCAGCGATTCCTTGCGAGCGTACACAGCTGCCGAGATTCGTGCCAGGATAAAATCATTTATTGACCTCGAAACTATGGAAGCACAGGCAGGGGCTACGTTTGCGAGATCGTTGTCGTCCCTTGCCTTGCGTGCCTGCCGTGACCGGCATCAGTCACATGTACATTTCTCCGCACTGCACTGGAAAACACTCTTCAGAAACGCCATGGTCCAATTCGCCGAGTCTCCGTCTCTCCCTCTCTCGCTGTGTCAACTCGCCAGGCGAGCCAATCCGTTGCCAGATGGCCTATCCGCACAGCTAACCCGCTTCTTGCGAGCGACGGCGCTGGAAGGCATGGAACACGCCGAGATCCTGGCATCCGCGCTCTCTATGAACGCTTATCCTCCAGGAATGCATGGTACGTTGATGCCCCGTGACGCTCCGCGATGCTGCATTATGCACAGGCTGGTTCTGATGAGCCATTAGGCTTCCCACCTGCCATGGTCTATTCCGAACTGTATGAAGACAAGGTACGCCGTGCCGTGTCCGATCTTGTACCAGCCCGATGCGATCTTGCGCCACAAATTCGGGAGAGGTTCGTCGCCCTCGCGAGCCACAACTTGAAAATATCGGGGGCCTTCGCTGCCGCGCATAAGGCTGTGTTAAGACGTGGACGGGCATCGTGGTTGTCTGTCAAGCCCCACGACATATGTTTAGTCTGCGCGGTACACTTTCCGACGAAGACACTGGACTGTAGACATCGGCTTTGTGATGCATGCACGGTGATCTGCGGCACGCTTGAGGGTCAAGGGACGACGACCGTCCCTCATTGCCCACTCTGTGGGCAACCCAACGCTGCTTCCTTCAAGAGGCGCCCTCCGACAGCAGGCACACGCGTCCTCGATCTGGGCGGTGCAGAGGCTGCAAAGACCATGGAGTTTCTCAGATCAATTCATCGCTCGATCAGTTTGGCAGGCACCTCCTTGTCTGACAGTTTCGATGTGGTTTTGGCCTCAAACGTCGGTACGTTCTCCTGTGTGCGTTCTTCCGCTCGCGATCTCATTGTTGTAGGGATCTTCTTCGCGCTCGCCCTCTTTCTTGAGAAGTGGACACTTGAGGACTGCAAACACCACCTGCGTCGACTTGTCCGCCCGAAACAGTCATGGATTAGATCGTGGAACGGGACCATCAACTTCGGAAAAGCATTGAAGTGGGAACTGCGAGACGTTCGGTCGGTAAACCAGCCTGCTCTCGTCATACACACCAAGAGAAAGCTGCTGTCAAATGCGATGGCGCAGTCTGAGGCCGACAGCACGTGAGTCCTGCGATTGATACCAGGCTGGCCAAGCACTGACCATACGCTAGATCTCTGGTCGAACTCCAGCGTCAGTATGGGCGGAGATGTGATTGCTTGGTCCAATACAACGGTGGCCCTATCAGCCGAGTGCTTGTGAAGCAAATGACCAATCAGCTGATCTCGAGCCTATTCTATGTAGAGTTGGCAGCCACTCCCACCTTCTATCGATCGCCGCACGCCTGTGAGCTGGCCCTGCGTTGCCGTCTCGCCCCCGGCGCCGCGCTCTTTGGCCTCCTACTGAGGTTGTGTCGGGGCGAGGCGCACTTCCTCTATCGCGGCGATGAGCTGGAGTACAAGAGGATCAGAGTTTGCGAGGAGAAGGACTTGAAGGCATACCAGAACTGGGCTTCTTATGAACGTTCACTCCAAGTGCAGGCTGTATCTCCAGCATGCAAAATTGACATCCAAATCGACGGTGACGGCATCGACAAAGGCCAGCACAACACCAGTCACTACATCAGTAACTGCCCGTACCGGCTCGAAGACCTGATACGTGATCAAG